ACATGATATCCTGTCCACAAACACTATATTTTGTATATACAGGTACAAAATGGTCATTTATATCCCCTTTTTTTGTTTAGTTTTGTCAGAGATGGGTATTCCATTGCCATTTAAATATTATAGGTACATGAATTTAGCAAAATAATCCAATATAGTCCAGTAGTCCATAATATAGTGGGTTATTTGTAAGACTGGCAATGTCAGAGGTTGTTGACTTGAGCCTTTTATAGCTCAGCATATTAATATGGCTTTACTTTTTATACTTCATTTTTATATTTTTCTGCTGGATGGTTAAGACCAAGATAAAGCAAGACCTATATAACAAGAAATATAACTTTTGTATCTGACAAGGTCAGTCAAATCCCCTCAGGATTTAACCCTGAAACCCTGTACCACAGTTTGTAGATCCTTTGTCAGTGTCAGCCATGTGGATGAGTCACGGACATTGGTTGACCAATTTGCTTTCTATGAAAGCCTGAGAGAATGTTTTCTCTCTAGATGACTCTCCTTAGGCACACTCTACATTGTCGATCACTTTCCTCTGTGGTCCCATAATCTCCTCTGATCGGAAAATTGGGACATCACTGAGTTATAGGATGTTACTGTACAGGTTCTCTTATGTCCTGAGTCTTCACTGACCTTGAAAGGCTAGGGCCAAAATGTTGGCTGTCTTTGCAGCCCTTCTTTTTCTCTAATTTTTGATCTGCAAACTTAAGTTGTTAACCCTCCAGAAGAGAAGCTTAATGATATTATTACCCTATAGCATAGGCAGTTGAGCTTAACCTCACTATCTGTCTGAATATCAAACATCTTAGACATAGTATGGAACAGGTATTTTCCATAAAGTATTGGTATGTTAAACTTTAAATCACTACAGAATGTAAAGAAAATAAATAAATTTTAAAAATAGGAATAAACAATTACATATTTTTACACAGAAATTTAGAAATCTAACCATATACAGCATTGTAGCAGGACAGTCCTATGACATTTTTTTCTTGTCTCTATTTTCATTTATTACTTTTTTAAAAAAATAAACATTTACTTGAGAGACAGTACAGCAGTAATTGATATGACATGATAAGCAGTACGTATTTAGAAGACCAGAACGACAGGCATCTCAAGCATGACCCTAGTATTACACATTGCTGTCTTCAGTGCAGTTGCTTAGTTCACAGGTATCAGCATATATAGTTAGTCAGGGTGAGAATCCTACCAATTAATTGCTAGTTTCAAAAACCTGCTGATGTTTCTCAGGATCATTGCTTAACCATCTTGTGCATATAAACGTATTGTTTTGCCCCTGTCATGTTTCCTAGCTTTTCTCCTTGCCCTCTCTTTGTTGTTTAGTCCGAAAGTTCTCACTTTCCTTTTAATTGTGGTATACCTTTCTCTTTTTATTTCTTCTTTTGAGTTCTTACACTAGGGAGACTATATGATACTTACACGTGTGGGTCTGGTTTATTTCACTTATGAGTATATCTTCAAGTGGCATCCACTTAAATATAAATGCTTCAAGTTTATCATTCTTTAAAGCTGAGTAATACTACAATGTATAAAAATACCACGTCTTTTTCATCCATTCTTCAGGTGATGGGCATTTTGGTTGTTTCCAAGATTTGGCTATCACAAATTGTGCTGCTATAAACACAGGTGCGCATATATCACAATGATATGATGTTTTCAGTTCCTCTGGGAAAATTCCCAGTAGGGGGATAGCTGGATTAAATGGGATTTCCAGTCCTAGTTTTTTAAGAAGTTGCCACACTGATTTCCATAATGGTTGCACCAGTCTACACTCCCACCAGCAGTGGAGAAGGGTTCCTATTTCCCCACAGCCTCTCCAACATTTGTGGTTGACTGATTTCTTTCTGATAGCCGTCCTTTGTGGGGTGAGATGGTATTTCAGTGTTGTTTTGATTTGCATTTCATGGATGGCTAGTGATGTGGAGCATTTTTTCATATATTTATTTGCTTCTATAATTTCATCCTCTGAGAAATGTATGTTCATTTTGGATGCCCATTTCTGGTTTGGGTCTTTAAATTTTGGGGCCCTAATGTTTTTTAGTTCTTTATAAATTCTAGAGAGAAGACCTTTGTCTGAGTGCTTATTAGTTAAGATTTTTTCCAAATTTGTGGGTTGTCTTTTTACTTTGTTGGTAGTTTCTTTTTTTAATAGACAATTAATTTTATTTGCATTTATTTTATGCTTAATTTATTCCTGTGCCATAAGTTTTTGTTTCTTCAGTTTCTTCTGGGATATCTTTTTCTTCTGGTGCAATTTCCTCCTCTGGATTAGAAACAGTTTGTTCCTTTTCGGTAAGGATCATCTCAATCTGGCAGGGGGAGCTCATGAATGGATTAATCTGGCCATGAGCTCTATAAGTACGGCAGTGCATCTTGGGTGCTTTGTTCACCTGGATATGTTCAATAATCAAAGAATCTACATCTAAACCCTTAGGTTCTGCATTACTCTCTGCATTTTTAAGCATGTGCAGCAAAAATTCAGCATTCTTTTAGGGCCACTGACCCTGTGTCCAGCCCTACTGTTTGGCCTGGGCACACCTACCAACTCCACCATTGTAACGGCAGAATGGTACACATTGCTTCTTTAATGTGACATCCTTGAGATATAACCCCTAAGTCTTCAAGAGTTTCTCCTATTTTCTTGTGGAAGGAATCTCAAAGCAACACAGTTTTGATGGTATCAATATTGCTGCTGATTTTAGCTAGGTTACAGTGAAAATTGGGAGCAAAATGCAGCCCAGAAAAATTAGAAAAACTTGCAGTTTGGTCGGAAAAGCAGAGGTAAAGTTGATGCCAAAGAAGGTGTGGTTACTGAAGAGATCAGAGATGTTAAAAAGAAGCCAAGTATTTTGCACTGGGATAATAGGGACAATGCCTTGAAGGAATCTCAGGAATTGGTCAGACTCCGCCCATTGCAGGTTCCAGAGTATAAAAGTGTAAACCTTGGAAAATTCAGCTTTATAGAGAGCCTCCGGAACTATGCTCACTCCAAGCCACCTGAGGAAGCGTTCCTCACACTCACCCATCAGAGCATTCAGAGGGCTCTGCAGTTGTGGACAAAGAGTGCCCAGCTATGGGGCAGGGGAGATGGCTCAGTAGAATAAGTGCTTCCCTGGCAAGCACAAGGGTCTGAGTTCAATCCCCAGTTATGAAAAAAAAAAAAAAAAAAAAGAGTACCCAGCTACTGCTTGTGCTATGGGGAGACCTTGTGATGATGCCTTTGCAAGAAAGCAGAGTACAAGAATTATGGGCTTCTGGAGGCTTCACCAAGACCTCAAAAGAAAGCCTAGGGGGCCAGGCTGTGCATGCATGGTCAGGGTCCCTGTGGGAAGCCCTAGAGAGGGCAATACGTGGAGCTGGAGCTGGGGTGGAGATTCCAGGAAGCTAGAGATGCCAGAAACATGGGACATCTTCCAAAGAAATCTGCATGCTCCAAGCAGAGCCAGCACAGGAGAGAGTGCATGTGAGTGGGTTACAACTATGAAGACTATAGGAGTAGGGGTGCCTCAGCCCTTTGAAGCCCACATCTTGCCACCCCATGAACTGAATACTGGACATGGAGCTACAGGATTTAATGTTTGACCTGCTGGGTTTCGGTTTTCTGGCTTAGCTCCTATTGGGTGTGGGGCTGCTGGCATGCTGAGTACATCCTGGTTGTTCCAGACCTCAGGGCTTTCTGCTTGGTGAGGAGCCCTGGGCCACCTATGGCTTTCTCAAGTGGGCACTACCATGTCATAATACAGTTTACAGTTGAAGAAGCTGTGGAATAGATTTTCTGTCTGGGCTGTGGATGGCCCAGGATGGTGACAGCCTCAGGGGAGGCTCTGCTCTGTCATGTGTGTGTCCCTCTGTCCTCCCTCCATTTCTACTGGAGATGCTTGCTCCTTATCTAGGAAGAAGGGGTCCTGGCATTCTGGGGGGCTAGACTCTCAAGGTCTTGTTATGATGGACCTTCAAGTGAGGGGTGTCCTCATTCCATGTCCCGTAGCCTTAGGCTGCATGTCCTCATTAACTAGTCTGCTACCCTCTCCTTCTTCCCTAATGCCTTCCTCCTTGGAGAAGCTGAGCAGCAGGAATTCTGGAGTCTAATTGCTACAAACTTCTCTCTCTGGCACTCTCCAGATCGGCTTTCATGTGGCCTCTACTTCCTTGTTCAGCCCTTCCAAGGCCAGAAGCCACCTCTTGACCACTGTCCAAGGCCCTAAATGCCAACTATGAACTTGTTCTCAGAACAGTCCACCCTCCCTAGTATCTTCCTTCAAGACTTATGGACCCTGATTCCCCTTCTCAACTTCTGGAGCATTTTAGTATCAAGATATTGTGAACGCTGGTCCTTTGGTGTTTAATCTGGTTGGGTTCTAATCCTGTGGCCTGATACACTGGGTACTTCCTTTACCTCGGCCTACAGGCATGGTGAGGTCTTCATGTCACCATATCTGCCTCCAAGATGTTGATGGGAAGTGTCCACGGTCTTATGGTATGGATCCAAATGTACCCGAGTCTCAGGTGTTCAGAGGTGGGGCTTTTGGAAGGTGATTGCATCAGGGCTAATAACCTCATTGGTGGATTTAATCTATTGGTGAGTGCATAGCTGAACATGTTATTAGGAAGTTAGCCCAGCTGAAGGAAGGAGGTCATGGGATGAGACCTGGAAGGGCCATCTTGTCTGTAGTCCCTTCTTTTCTGGGTCTCTTGTCCTGCTCATTCTGCTTTCTGGCCATTATGAGGTGGGAGCTTTCTTCCACAACATCCTTCACTCAGATATTTCTGCCTTCAAGCCAGCAGACCAGGGACTGAAACCTCCAAAACCATGAGCCAATAAACCTCTTCTGTGTACAGAGGTCTTTTGCCCCAGAGATGAGGTGACTAAAACAGAGGCAGTACACCCTGGCTGGGTGTGGGAGAGTCATGCTGGCCACCAGCTTCTCAGGAAGAGTGCCAGGGTTGGACAGAAGACAGGGAAGAGCCACAGAGAAAAGTGGGAACTTTTATTAGCAGAGACCATTGACATGGACAGGACCAATAAAAAACACAGGAGGAGTAGGAATAAAATAGACATAAAAAGAATCTTCAATGAAACACAAGACTAGCCACTATTTGGAGGAGAAATAGTTTTGAGTTGTTTCTGAGAATGTTTTGGCCATCTGGTCCAGTCTAGGCCTTTGTATCAGTGTGGGGCCTTCATAGGCAGCACCTTTGCTCTAGGGATGTGAGAACCAAGGTCAGAGCCAGTGTCTCCCAGCCTGAGCCACAGAGGTCTGAGGTCTGGGACCAGGGTCTGTGTAGACAACTGGCAAAGCCAGTCCTCCTGTGGGAGGACCTGACCCCCTCATACTTTGTGTTTGAAAAATCCTCTTGACCTTGACCTTGGTTTTCCAAAAATGACCCACAGCTCAGCGTCTCACCTGAGCAAGCAGCAGGGTCTGCTTTGACTGTAAGTGGGAGGAAACTAGGAAGGGATAGTGAGGGATCCATCAGAGGGAGGTCCTAGAGGTGGCTGAGGGGCAAGCGAGTCCAGTGAAGGAGGGGTACACAGACACAGACCCCCCACAGACACCAAGGGGGAGGTTACTCAAAATGCGCATGTCTGTGTGGATTTCTAACCTTCCCTTTAAAAACGTGTAGCTAATCTGGAAACTTTGAGTCACATTTTCTGTTTGGTTCTGGTGGGTAGGGTTGGGAGGCTCATCCTGGTGTACTGAGTACCTATGGCCCTAGCCCAGTGCCACCTTTCTGGAGACCGTCTGGTAGAAGACCCCGCGGAGCAGGGCCTGGTAATCGGGCACACGGAACAGGTGGCGCTCTCCAAAGGCCACATCATACTCTGCCGTCTTGCCTGTGACCAGCACCCGGATGTGTGGCTCATTCACCTGGCGGCCCACCACCACCACAAAGATCTCGATGCCCGCTTGCTGTGCCTCCTGCACAGCCTTCTCGATGGCAGCTGCTGTGGCTCCCTGTGAGTTGCCATCAGAGAATAGCAGCACCCTCTTCTTGGCCGCGCCTGAGGAGGCTTCACGGTAGAAGCGTGTCACGAAGCTCAGGGCACTGTTGACATCAGTAGCGTCATTGAAGAAGTCCATGCTGTCAACGGTGCTGGCTAGCACTGTGTAGTTCTGCAGGAACTGCAAGGCTGGCCTCCCTGGCCGCTGCTGGCCTGGGCCGCTGTACTGTACCACTGCCACACGTACGTCTGCTGTGGGGTCCTCTCGGTCTGCTGACAGGAAGCGCTCTGCCAGGCGCTTGGCAAAACGCTTGGTGACTTCGAAGTTGTGGCCGCCGACACTGGCCGAGCCATCCAACATGATGGTGATGTCAGCCGGGGAGGAAAACGTGACTGTGGAACAGGGTGGGCAGCTGTAAGCATGAGGCCACCCCCATGGCGAAGGCAGTCAGAGACTGCCCCATCTCGTGGACACCACCCTGCACCAGCCCACTACTCACTCGGGCAGGTGTAGTCTGGACACTTCTTGTCTGTAAGGAGAAGACCCAAGTGTGAACCACCGTGACCCATGCAGTAATGCCCAGGGTCCCAGGTACTACTTCCTGCCCCACTCCCAACCCACCAGGAGGTCGGGCAGAGCCTTGGCCTCTCTGAGAATGGGGACACTAAGGCTTCGAGGAAGAGGGAAGCCTGCAGGCTAGGCATGTTTAGCCATGCTATTTCCCACATGCTCATTGCCTGACTGCGGGGCGGAGGCCTAGAGATGAGCCACAAGTGGCCAGGGGCACTGAGTAAGGCAGTGTGGGCCAGTGGGGTGGCCGTGCCCCTGAAGCAGGGCTCCTGAGTGTTAGAGGGTACTGTGTCATCTTGAGCAGTGCCTGTGTGGCTCACCTATGCAGATCTGGGCCGTGATATTCTTCAGGAAGGCATCCTCCAGCAGCTCCGCATAGTTCTCCTTCACCAGGGAGATACCTGGCCGGCCCTGGGGTGACAGGCCTTGGCAGGAAATGACATTGAGCTGATCGGAGCCCGCAACAAAGCCAAACACATCCCTGATGCCCACGGACACCACCTGCAGAGGACAGTGAGAGCCATCAGTGTGGCCCATGACCTTGCCTCTCCTGAAGGAGAAGCCTCTCTTTTGGGGTCTTGAGGCTGCCCACCTGGATGTTGGGGCCACAGAGCACATTGAGGGGTGTGGTGTCCCGCTGGGTGTCTGAGCGCCCATCGGTGATAACCAGGGCAATGCGGTTGTTCTGGGTGGGTGGCAGCAGCCGGTCCCGGGTGTACTGCAACGCCTCACCCGTGAATGTGCCGCCTGCCATCCACTGTAGCTTCTTGACAGCTCTGTGAGCAGAGGGGCCAGGTGAGGTTGGAGGCCAGAGCACCCCACCTTCGTCCCGGGGCTGTGGGTGGCACCCACTCACTCCTTGAACTCCTGGGCATTCCGGATATTAGGGCTGTGCAGGTCCACATGCTCCTGCATCTGGTTGTGGCTGTACTGCACCACGCCTGCGTGTGACTGTCCTGGCTCGAACTGTGGTGAGGGATGTGTTGAGCTCTGGAGGTCCCTGGACCCCACCTGGCCTTCCCTCAGGGCAGCAGGTTCCCTCCTCCAGGGTGAGCCCCAGAGCCACACAGACATCCTGAGTGGGGAGCCTGGACGCTTGGCCCTGCTGGCTCAGAGACCATGTCCTCACCTTGACCAGTTCGTCCCTGCTCAGCCGGTCAATGACTTTGATGATGAAGTCCTTGGCAATCTCGAAGTTCTGCAGGCCGATGCTCTCAGAGCTGTCCAGCACAAAGAGGATGTCGATGGGGCCGCACTTGCACTCTGCAGGCAGGTGGCAGGGGTAGCCTCAGCCTTCGGCTGCACACCTGCCTGAGCACACTGGGGCAGCTGCTCCTACTCCACCCCCTACCCCCAGTGCCGATCCCTGAGGACAACAGACAGGGCAGCACCAGGCTGGCTTCTGCCCTGTGAGGTGGCTCTCTGAGTTGCTGTGGAAAGAGGACAGCAGGGATGGTGCCCCAGGCCATGCAGGCCATGGCCCAAGAGGGCATTTGCCAGTGGTCTCAGGAGTCAGTGCAGTGAGGACGTGGCCACTGATCTGCTGCATTGATGGGATTTCCTTCCACCGCAGGGTCCTCTGCTTGAAGGTCTGAAGTACTGGGGGCCCAGCATATGGGGACACTCACCACAGCAGGCTGGACAGGAGGGGAGAGAGGGGCTTCAGTGTGGCTGGCTGCTCATGATTGCCCACCCCAGACTCTGCCCAGAGTCTGTCCCAGCAGGCTCAGTGGACTGTGTGGCTCAGTGCTCCCCTGTATATGGCACGAAGGGCCAGGGTCTGCCTGCCCCCAGGGTGACCAGAGGTCCTTGTGGGGCACAAGAAGGGGCTGGCAGGGACCTCTCCTCCCAGTAAGATACTCACAGCACATCTTCATGATGATGTCCAAAATCTCACATTCCTAGATGGAGGACACAAGAAGTCAGGCTCTGGCCTGGGATCTCGCTGTCACCCTGGGACTCCCATGGACTGGGGTGAGGAGGGGCATCTCACATCCATCCCAGGGTATGTGGGATTTACCCAGCAGAGCCTGCCACTGGGCACAGCTCCATGCATGGCTCCCACTGTCCCCACAGTGGTATCCCCTGCTGCCATCCCATGCCTCCATAGTCCTCTGTGTCCCCTGTGGTCATTCTGTGCCCCCATGGTCATCCAGTGCCCCATGGTCATCCTGTGTCTCTGTAGCCATGTTCTCTGTTACCATTTCACGTCCTGTTGTCACCTCATGCCCCAACAGTCCCCAGACTTCCCACAGCTATCCTACAGATGAGCCCCTCACAGGCCTGTCTGCAGAAAATACTTACGTCTGGCCCAGGTGGTCCCACGTGTCCTGGGGGACCCTGTCAGGGCAAGGACAGACAAGGTTGAGCAAGGATGCCACCATGGGTCAGTGACCTCTCCCATCCCAGCTGGTCATCCCCTTCCATGGGGGTCATAGCCACTGCCTGGGCAGAGTGCTAACTGATCCGATGGCCTGACAGGAATGCTGGCCTAGGGTCTTGCAGCCATCCTGGGCCTAGCTTTGCTGCCTGCAGAGGTCACCCTTGCCCTGGTGATGTCCCTCTGGTGGGCACCAGTCCACAAGGCATGGTGTTTCCCTCCACCCCCACGGAGCCCACCAAATTCCCATCAGTCTCCCACCCTGTGAGGTCTTGGGGCCTGGGGTGCAGCATGTCACCTACCTGAGGACCTTCTGGACCACGGTAACCTTTTGCCCCTTTAACTCCTCGGGGTGAAATGTCATTGTTCTGCAGGAAAACAACAGGAAGTCATGAGTCCTCAGGTGCTGTCTCCCTTCCCAGGCAGCCACATCCCCGCCCAGAAAGCCGGGCTGACTTGGTGTCACCACGGCTCCCTGTCCCACCCCACCCCACTTACATCCTCTCCAGGGTCTCCGGCTTCGCCCTCATCCCCCTTGAGGCCAGGGTAGCCTCTTGTGCCCTGTGAGTGACAGAACAGGTTATGGCATCTGGGAGGTAGAGTCAGGGAGAAGGCACTGTGCATGTGGCTGGACACTGGGCACATGTGGGTATGTGGGCACTGTGTCTGCATGTGTGGGGAGCATGTGTGCCTGTCTATACACACATGATTCTCAAGTATGAATGTTGACATAATGGGAGGGAACACGTGGTCACTGTGTGCCTGCACACGTGCATGTGTGTGGATGTAAACATTATGTGGGCACACATATGTGCCGTGTGTAAATGTCAACATGTGTATGCATGTATGTGTCTGTATACAAGCCTGGCTGGGCAGAGGGAGGTGGGGTGTACTCACATTCAGCCCCGGGGGGCCCCTGCTCCCGGGATAGCCCTGTGGAAGACAGGGATCAGTTACACCAGAGCCTGGTGGACTCTGATCAAGGCTACATTGCCAGGTCCAGCACTGAGTGCCAGGTGGTTGGGGTGGGGGCAGCAGGGAGGCACAGGCATGGCCTGGAAACACTCACAGGAAAGCCGGGGAAGCCTTCGGTGCCGTTTCCAGGGGGGCCATCTTCACCCTGGGGAGTAGAGCAGGATTGCTATTACCAGGAGCCAATGGGGATACCGGGCTCCCTCCCCAGTGTCCCACGTCCCTCTCTGGGCTTGGCTTGCCAGAAATGTCCTCACCCTCAGGAATTCCCTGATGTCCATGCAGCCTTGGACCTAGCAGACCCTCCCAGAAGATAGCCATGCTCCCCATACTCACCCTCTCGCCCATCAGCCCAGGGTCTCCAGGGGGTCCAGCAGGTCCTGGGGCTCCTCTGAGACCCTGAGGAGAGGAAGGGATGACAGCCAAGTCCCAAGCAGTGTGGGGTGGGGCACAGAGCCTCTGGGTAGGGAAGTGCTGGACAGGGTACTTGGCCAGTATATTCCTCTGGGCCAGGAAGATGGGGTGGGGGCAGCACTTACCTCAGGCCCTGGGGGACCCTCATCACCTCGGTATCCTTTAGGTCCGATGGGGCCAGCCTCACCCTGAGGAATGGAGATATGGTGGGACCCCAGGCCTCACTGCCCCAGGCTCAGCCCTCTATACTGCCCAGGCCTGAGCTGAGGGTCCTCACATTGCCCCACCCCATATCCCCAGGGCTGGGGCACATGTGGAGACCACTGTCCCTAGAAGACTTTGCTGGGCTGCCCTTTATGGCACTGGGCACTAATGCCAGGTGGGATTTCCACATGCCATCCCAAGGTGGCCCTCTCTAGGATCCCTCCAGGGGCAATGACCATCCTGGACCCCAGGTTATGGACCCCACTTGCTGGAAGCTTCACCTCTCCTCACAGATCCCTGGCCACACAGTGATGGGACAACTCTAGGAGTGGACAGGCCACTGCCTGGTCCCCTCACAGGGTCCCCTGCTCCTGCAGTGGCCCCAGCTGGACATTCTGAGGATTTATCGTGCCTCACGAGGCCACAACATCCCTGCGGGCAGTCCCTGCACCCTTGGTCTCCAGTGCTGTCCCCTACCCTGAAGCTCCCATGCTCAGCCCTTGGCTGAGTCCTGAGCACCGAACACCCTGGGGATCGAGGAAGGAAGCTGGGACATCTTCATTTTGCCTGCCACTGGGCCCTATACCCTCCAGGTTTGCCAGATTACAAATCTGTCCTGGGGCCTGGCACCAGGAAAATGTCCAAAGAAAGCCATGGCTGGCACCCCTTGCATTGCTTGCTTGCAACTTGTCCTTAACACCTTGTCCCTGAGCCAGCCCAGCCCTGAGGCACAGGTGACGTCACTGTCCCTGACAGAACACGCATGCAGCCAGCTCCCTGGGCCCGGGACTCCTCCAGCCTGCGTGCACTCACTATCCTTTGTATTCCCCTCCCTCCCAGCTTGGGGTTGGGGGTGAGAGCAGCCCCGAGGGATGAGAGGCAGAATGCCAGGAGAACAAAGGAGGCCTGCCTGCCACGACCAGGTGAGTCTGGTGGGTGTCCTGTGTGTCTGCTTCCCAGAACTGGGTGCAGACTCAAAGCTTCCTTTGGGGGAAGTCAGGGCCTGTATCCCACTGTGCTTCCTGGGCTTCCAAACTAACTATGTTTTCACATGATTTGGAAAAGCCTAAGTTTTCCAAGAAATGTCCTCTGCTTTGGCCATACAGCAGTGAGGGCCATGTTTGGAAACAGCATCACCTGTGCTATGGCTCGTCTCCTCAGCCCGGCCTGGACAGCTCTGGTGTGACCTCACGCACAGCTCTGGATGACCAGGCCCAGCTGCCCACAGAGCCAACCACTGGCCACAGGGCATCACTCTGGGGCTTCCCTGCCATCTGAGCAGGTGACAGTGACACAGCTATCATTGTTCCTGGAACTTGGTGGGGGGACAGGAAGGTAGGGCTCACAGGGAGGCCGAGAGGCAGGACAGAGGGCTAACTTGCCACTCCCAAGTGCCAGGCCAGGCTTCATCTTGCTCTTGCCTTTGATATCTACTCCAGACATGCACAGGACAGTGGTGGGTGACTTGTGCGGTCGTGTGACACAAGGCTGAGATCTTCACCAAGCCAATAAATGGTCAAGTAGAAAATGAGCAGAATGAAACCATACAATGGATGGCCAGGGAACACCCAGGCCCAGAGTCCAGGACACACTGCGGGAGCTGGTTCCCCCTGACGGTGGTACCAGCTGCTGGGGGCACAGCTGGGCAAGGAGCACTCTGGAAATCTTGACATCCTGTGTCAGCGCAATGTGGTGTCCTCCACTCTCCAGGAGAGGGTAGGAAGGCTGGGACTCTTTCTTGTAGAATTATTTGGCAGATGGCAACACATGCACACACGCACACACACAGGCACACACATTGTTTGAAATTCTGCTGCTGAGGGTTGACCTAGTGACGCAGCTGTGGATGGGTTGCAGGTGGTGGGGGTGTGGGCAGGTGGGTGGTATGCAGATTTATGGATAATGGGTAGGCGACAGCTGGACAGAGAGATGGTGATGGGTGATAATGGTGACAGGTGTCAGGCAAGTGGGTGTTGGCCAGACACATGGATGGTGGACAGACATCAGTGTCTATTATAGGATTCTCTTCTGTGGGGCAAACACTAGGGACAGATCTTGTGTACCTGGGGAGGCGCATTCAGTGAGTCCCTTCCGAGCAGCACCAGGACACTGAGCAGAAGGCCCTGAATGGGCAAGGTACTACCATGCTGACCACTAAGGGCCACTGCTTGACATGGCCTGAAAACGACAGGCAAACACACACACACACACACACACACCTGCACATGCACCCTGTACACTAGCATTCATAAAACAGTTCTAGGAAGACTGAAGAAGGAAGCCAACCTAAGAATGCTGAAGGCTCAAGCCTGAGGTGGGGAGGAGCTTCGTATCCCTGGGTGCCACCTGTGGGCTACAGGGGCTCTCCCATGGACCTTCCTCTAACAAAGTTGGGACATGGCTCTGTTCTGGGGAGCCTGCCCAGGGCTGTTTCTTCAGTGACATCACTCGCTCACTGGGTGAAGTCACATGGCTGATCCTCCCCAGGGTCAATGCTGCATCCACCCTCAGAGGCTTACTAAGCTCTGCCTCTGGCTCCACAGAGGCCCCATGGTCTCCCTCACAGGCCACTGAGGGCATCAGGACACTGGCTGCCCTTGGTCTCAAAGGTGGGCCACGTGTGTCCCAGGGTGGACCATCCTGCCAGTCTTCAGCCCAGACTGCAGATGTGTAAGGAGGCCCAGAAATGTCTGCTGTGGGACTCCCGCCCATGTCGTCATTTTCACTGCTGTTTGAAGCTGGTGCTTCCCTGGAGCCTCTCTGAAGTCACACTTTCCTCCCCACTACTCATTCCTGGACCTCCAGGGACCATCCTGCCCCTGGGGACCCTGCTGTGAACCAGGAGCCTCTTCTCCCCTCCCTAGCGTGGTCACTGGAAGGCCTCACCCACACTTACAATCCTGCAGCCTTCAAATGACTCCAAATCCTGCACACTCCCACATCTCCCCCAGCAGCCTTGCCCAGGACCAAGGTCACCCAGTGACCTTGCCCTTGGTCGAAGCACTCATCTTCTCCACCTGCAACCCGAGGTGCTCTCTGTCCAGGGCTGACAGTCTAAGCCCAGGTGGCCAGGAGCTGCGTGCTCATCTGAGTCCTCTTGTGGGGACCCCACTGTCTTCGGGAGCAGCCCTTTCGGAGGTGTCCCATGGGAAGTGGCCCCAGACTGCTGGGGGCCAATATGGCTCTGAGCTATGTGTGAGCTGCCAGGCCAAAGACTCAGCTGGTGTGGGAGGCATCTTACTGGGTCTCCAGGGACTCCAATGGGGCCTTCTCGTCCCTGGTCACCTTGTGGTCCAGCTTCACCCTGGGGAGATAAAAGCCTATGAGTGGAGGTCAGGTCACAGGGCAGCCACCAGCAAACTCCTCAGGGTGGATGGACAGCTGCCCATGTCAGGTGGTGGAGGTAACCGACAAGGAGGGTGGTAGGGACTGGTGGGCCAGAGCCGGGCAGAACTGCTGCCTGTGAGGGCACCAGACTGCTCCTCATCCTTCCTTCCCTCCGACCTACCTACTTCTGGCCTGGCCAGGGAAGGCCCACAGTCTCAATCTCTGCGTCAGCTCTGTCCTCAGAGGCCACACAGAGCAGGCTGAACTCATCATGAGGCCAGGGCCACTCCAGATGCCCCTGGCTCTCTTATAGCCCCATTTTGGAGCATCTCTGGCCACAGCACGAGGGACTGGGGTGACCTCATTGGGACAGGATGTAGTGGCAACTGGGATGAGGGCTGGGCTGTGATGAAGCTCTGGGCACTCTCAGACCACCTCCTTATCAGCTTCCCCAGTCCAGCAAAACCTCACTGTTGGGTCAGAGGATAGAAAGCCCAGCAACCCCTCAGGGATAGACTGGACCAGGGAGGCAAACAGGCTCCCACCAAGGTGCTGTGGGTCTCTGCCTCAAGGCTCTCTGAGCAGCTTGCCCTGGGTCTTCCCCATTCAGATTCAATCCAATAGTTCACCAAGGAGGAGCCTCCCTAAGAACAGGGTCTGCAGAGGTGGCCTCACAGCAGCTGGTGAGGGCTGTCAGGTAGATGGGATCAGGAAGCCACAGTTCTGTGTGGCTGCACGGGTGGCCAGGTACAGGGGTGGTTGCTGGGGATGCCACTGAAGTACATTGTTAGGGACAAAGCCACAAGGGTAGGAGAGGGTGGGGACCATACCCAAGCCACATCTGGCTTTGCTCTCCTTGCCCTGGTTCCAAGGGAGGAGGGGCCAAGAGCTGGGGCTTGGGCTCTGTTGGGGCTGTGTTGTGGGGTGCAGGTGCTGAAGCCCAGACCCTAAGGGGGCTGTGTGGCATGTCCATGGTCCTGAACCTGCCATGACCCAGCATCAAGACAGACTCACCAGGTCTCCTCTTGGTCCTCGAACACCTGGAGTCCCACGGGGTCCTCTCTCTCCGGCACCACCCTGTGAGGAGAAGATCCATGTGAAGCTGGCTGGCTCCGGGCCAGAAGGAATTGCTCTGGCCTCTGGGTGCCATTGTGGGGCCCAGATAGACCCGGCCCAGGTTAGGTGGCCTCCTTCGTGACTCTTGGTGGGGACACCACAGCCCAACTCACCCTCTCTCCTGGAGGGCCATCCGGTCCCGCATTCCCCTGTAAGAGGAACAGATGCCAGTGTCAGTGTGTATACTAGCCTGTTGGCTCAGGAGGGATGGATGCCAGCTCACCTCATCGCCAGCCTCTCCTTTCTCTCCTGCGGGGCCAGGCTCTCCAGGTTCGCCCTGTGGACAACAAACGTAGAATCACTGTGTAGCCCTGACCAAACCCCACATGCACAAAGCCACTACCCACTTGGCCTCACCTCGTCTCCAGGTGGCCCTGAGCTTCCAGGCCTTCCGGGCTCTCCGATGGCTCCAGCCTCACCCTGAGGAAGGTCAGGGTCACAGATGCTGCAGTCAGCCATGAGGTCACCCTGGGGCCCAGGGACCCCGTGCCCAGAGTCCTCATCAGACCTCGGGCCACTCTGACCACAGCCATATGAATCCCAGGCCTTCTGTGACCACAACCACCATTACCTGCACAGAAACTGCCCAGAACACTTCAGCCCAAACCTGGAAGTCTGAGCCCAAAGCTCTACCTAGTCAGGCCTGGAAGTTACGCTGCAGACCTGAGGACAGGGCCTGAAGTCCTTGGCCAGATCTCTGATGGCTCTGTGAGGGCAAAGCCCAGCTCCTGCCTGGTATTCCTGCCCACCCTGAAGCCCCAGAAAAATAGCAGTGGAAGCCTTGGACACAGGCTGGATTCCAAGACCCTGCCCTCTTCTGCCTGCTGGCAGCCATGAGGATGGAATGCTCCCTCAGGTCCCAGTTCCAGGGATGAGGATCAGGTAGAGGCCTGGCTGTGGGGTGTGCAGTGGTTGCTCAGTCCCGGCTCTAACTGGCTGCCACTCTAGCGGGTGGCAGGGCCCTTGGCGTTAGTGGCAGCCTGTAGCCCCAGACCTGGTCACTCCCTGCCTGCCGCGTGGGAGCCTGCAGTGGAGACCTGGCCCCAGGAACATCTGGGCCTGAGCTCCGTGTACACGAAGCCCCTGCTTTTGAGGCTGCACATCACTCACCTTGTCTCCCTTTAATCCAAAAGCACCAGCATCTCCTTTGGGCCCAGGGGGTCCTTGGACACCCTGGTGAGAAGACACAATGTCAGGTCACAGTGGGCAGAGGTCCCCAGGGCCCTCTGATGAGTCACTGCCTGACAAGCAGAAAGGGCCAGGGCCACATTCCTGAAAACCATGGCCCCCAAACCAGGGATAGAAGTGACTTACATCGAATCCTGGAGAACCTTTGCAGCCTGGCAGTCCTGGGTACCCTGTCTCCCCCTGGAAGAGAAGGACAGGATCAGGTGGTTGGGTGATCAGGGGCAGCTGAAGGTGGGAAGCCACTAGTCCTCAGCTCTGCCCTTCATGCCTTCATGGGACACCCTGCCCAAGAACCAGGAACTCAGCTGGTAGTTTGGGATCCACTGAGGCTCACTGGGACCTGGAGTAAGGCAATGAAGACCTGCAGGATATATCTTCTGACCTGGCTCATCTTCCTGTCACTGCTATGTCACTGCTGTGCCCACGAAGCAACCCTAGGTTGGCACCCCAAGCATCCCCGGTTACCTTCATGCCATCCACCCCATCGATGCCACGCTTGCCCTTCTCTCCCTGTGAGGTAACAAGACAAAATGAAGGGTCAGGTGAAGGTCAGATGAAGGTCAGATAGTACTGCTGGGGACACCATGTTCCACACTTACCTTGTAGCCCTTGGGTCCCCTGGAGCCCTGTGGAGACAGAAAGAGAGGGTGAGGGTAGGGGCAGGAATTCTGCCTAGTAGAAGGGTGAGGTGGGCCCACCTGGCCAAGGCCCACCTGGCCAGGCTCCCCATGGACAAAAAGTTGCCCTAAATCTAAGGATGTCCAACCCTGCTGGGGATTTGGACTAGGTGTGGGGTCTGAGGCCTTGTTGAGCTGAGAGCACCCTGAGGGCAAGGATACCCCTGTGGAAGAAAACAGTGCCATGCCAGCTCCCACTGACCCCAGGGTCCACCCCAGGTCAACCTCATTCTCCGGGGTAAGAGGTAGCAGTGAGGGGTCCACCCAGCCGTGTCTCCCAGATGGGGGTCCCAGCAGCGTCCAGGAAGGAGAAGCGCACCTTCTCCCCGCGGCTCCCTTTCTCTCCCTGCAAACAGAAGAGATTGGGAGAGTAGGTATCATGGCTATAGCGCTGTTCACCCGCCTCATAGACCCCCATGGGCTTCCCTAGAGCAGGGGACACACACCTTCATGCCCTGGTACCCGACAGGCCCGAGGTCCCCAGGTCGTCCCTGGAACAGAGGAAGGGATGGTCAGATACCCGCATCTTCCCAGCCTCCCCTCACTGTGACCAGGTCACAGTCAGCTGGAGGGACACAGAGAACATCCAGGGCATGGCCTGTTATGAAGGTCCCAGAGGTGATGGTCCAGAGAAGGGGCATGGAACAGGAGTGGGAGGGGGCAGGGGATAGGAATAGGAGGGGGCAGGGGATAGAAGTGGGAGGAGGCAGGGGACAGGAGTGGGAGGGGGTAGGGGATAAGAGTAGGAAGGGGCAGGGGACAGAAGTGGGAGGGGGCAAGGGACAGGAGTGGGCAGGGGACAGGTAACTAGATGGGGTGAGGGCAGAGGGCAGGAAGTTTGAGGGGTCTGGCCCAAGTCCAAAGCAGAGGTCTGAGCCTGGTCCAGCTCCTTTCCTGTTGAATGCGCTGCCATGGGACTTTGGCCCCCAGCCATAGCTCTGGGAGTTTCTCTGCACCCCTTCTGTGCATTGATACTCACGGGATCTCCGGCTTCCCCCTTCTCTCCAGGAAGGCCTGGCTTTCCACGTTCCCCCTGGAGGACAGAGCAGACAGGTCAGGGGCAATTCTACCCACTTCCAGAAAGGGGAATGGGGATGCAGCTGACACAGGGACGTAGGTGTGCAGAACCAGTGGCTCCAGGCCTGTCCTAGGCTCTGGCCTTCTCCCCACACATCCTCAGCCATGATCCTCACCTGAGGACTACTTGGCCCCCTCCAACCAGAGCACTCTTCTGCCCCAGATCCTCAGGGACATGCAGCTCTGCCACCAGGATCTGGAGACCCAGAATGCTACCCCATCATCCTATGTGGGTCACATGGCTGTGAGCCTCACATTTCACACCCCAACGTGTAGGCTATTCACTTCCCAGATCTAAGCAGGCGGAAGCACTTGGGTCTTGAAAGGACCAGGGGCCCTGGGCAGCCTGCTGGGCCATGGAGGCACAGCCCCAGGCCAGGCCACAGCCCTGGCCTCCACTGGGACCTCCTACAGGACTCAGGATGCCCAGCCTGCAGATATGCAGGACAGTACACATGGGGTGGAGCCCTGTGTCCCCATGAATAGAGCCAGGGCAACCACTCACCTCGTAACCAGGGTCACCCCTGGGCCCTGGAGGTCCTCTGGCAGCCTGAAAGATGTGAGGGACGTCAGCCCTGACCCAGAAAGGGCATGGGCTGAGGGTGGTGGGTGGTAGCCACACTCACCTGGCACTCGAAGGAGCAGCACTACAGGGAGGCACAGAAGATGGTCAGAGGTGGAAGGTGGGGTGTCGGGACACGTCTGGACATGCTCCCACATGTGTGCACAGGAGAGGTGCCCAGATGTACTCTCACATGTGCACATAGGACACATGCCCAGAATGCTCCCACACACATATACTAGGACCCTCTCCCATACCCAGACACAGGACACATGCTGGGACATGCTTTTACATGTGTGCACAGAACAAACGCCTGGACATGTTCTCACATGTGTGCACTGATACCTGCTCAATATGCTTCCGCATGTATGCATAAGGACACATGCCTGGAACACTTTTACATTAGAACATGCAGCTAGAGTAACTGCCAGAGGCATGTATAGGACATGTGTCTGGATACTTTCCCACACGCATACACAGGACACATGCACAGACAGAATTTCACATACATGCACAGGACATATGCTCGGACATACTCCCACCTGCATACACCAGGATGTGTGCCCAGACATGCTCTTATACATGCTTGGATATGCTCCTACATGTGTGCCCCAGAGGGACACACATGCCCTCAGTAGGTGCCTGTCACGCACCCCCATGGGCTTAGGAGGGCAGCTAGGGAAGTCTTACCACTTGCTCCACATTGTTTTTCTGAAATGAGAGGGAAGACTGAGTCACTACCTCCTGAGGACACAGTCACCCTAACCCCGTCGTGGTAGGTGCTCACGATCATGTCCACAATGGTCTCGATGGTCTGGGTGATAGTCTCCTCAGCGTCAGGATTCTGTCCCCAGTCTGCTGCTGTGAAGTTGCGCCGATACGTGTGGTCAGTGGCAATGATGCTCAGGCGTGGCTCCTGGCGTGTGGGGTAAGAAGATGAGTGGGCAGGACAGGGTCAGCCTGCAACCTGGGCACAGGGGGGCATCACTCACCAGGTGGTCGGGTGTGATGGCCACAGAGAAGACCTTAATGCCCAGGTGCTTGGCCTCGTTCACGGCATCCTCTAGGCCCCCACAAGGCTCCTTGTAGCCCTCCAGAGGGTGCCCGTCAGTCACCACGATCAGGTATTTGTTCTCCTTGAGGTGGGAGCCCCTGGGGGAGTAGCAGTGTGAGGCCCTCCCTACAATTCCTCCTGGGGCCTGGCAAGGGGACCAGGAGGGAACCTAGGCCAGTGTGGGGCAGTGCTGGCCTCTGCCACATGGGCGAGGATTTTCTTCTTTGACCTGAGTACTGAAAGTACAGCATAGGCCATAAGAGTATTGAAAGTACAGAGCATGCTGCCTGACGGTGGGGGAATGGGGTGGGCAAGGTGCCACTCACCCCACCAGCAGCTCCTCCAGCCCCTTCTTGATGGCACAGTCTGTGTAGGTGCCCTTGCCAAAATACTTGATAGCATCCACTTCAGCCTTGAGTTGATCGCGGCCGGCAGGCATGCGTGTGAGCCCATGGATGATCTCTACCTCGTCGCTGTAGTGCAGTGCACCTGCATTCCATACCAGGTTGCGGTCGCAGCGGTAGTACCTGTGGAGACCGGCCAGCGGGTGCTTGTGAGGACATGCTGACCACCAAGGTCTCACATGGGCATAGGCCCAGGCCAGACTGCAGCTGGGATGGCAGCCCTGCCCTGGAGACCAGCCCAGCCCACATGACTGGGCATCCTGGGCCCTTAGGAACTTGAGTCAGGGGCAGGAAGCCAGGTCCAAACAGACCCCTCGGTGGGTCCAGTGGCTCTGCTAGGCTGAGGTGGCCAAGCTGAATCCTGGGCATCTATAGGGATGGTACAGCAGTTGGCTCTGCCCCATTTCACAGGAGGGAAACAATGGCACAGGAGCGTGAGCAAAGGCACAGAGGATACTCTATGCAGGCCACACAGCTGTCTAGCTACTCCTTACCCAGTCACTGTCCACACCACCTTCATCCTCCCATGGACCTGTGGCTGCCCAGCCCAGGGTGAACAGTTCATACTAGTCCCACACGTGCCTTTGGCTGCCATGGTCCCTGCTGGTGGGCAAGAGGCTTGGCCTGGGTCAGTTGGCTAGTGAGGTCAGAGGACCAGAAAGGTGGGGATATCAGGGGAGGAGCCTGTGGTGGCCGAGCCCATCCCCCCACACACCACAGAGGTGTCACGGGCCTAGAGGCCTCTTGTCTGCCCCTCCCAGGTCTTATCCCAACCCCTACCCAGGATCCAGTGCTGTGAGCCTGCAGGCAGGTACAGTTGGGGAGTCAGAGGGCACAGGGGCTTTGCCCATACCCAGAGACATGCTTAGTGGTCCTAGAGGTGAAGATGGGTAGGGCTACTAGGCCCTGGGTCAGGGATATTGGGGACAGGGGATCCAGTCTCAGCAGAGGCCCTAGTACCTGTGTGGGCAGCAGGCAGGGCCCAGCCTACTAGGGAGGGCCCCAGGCACAGCTGCAGCTGGGCCCAACCCCGCAAGCCCCAGAATACTCAGAGGTGCAGCGGCTCTGTCTGTGTGCGGCTCATGCATCCACCTCAGCATGCCCCTGCTCCTCCATCAGGTGGCACCAGGAGCCTGCTGCCTCTCCCTCCATCTCCCCTCAATCTCCACTCCATCCCTAGGCCTCTGATGGATGTGGGTGGAGATTGGGCAGCCTCTACCTGCTTGCTGGTTCCTGGGGTAGAGACACCACTAGGCTGGGTCCCTACCTGTCTCTCAGATTGTCGATGAAGCGTTTGGTGAAGCTCTTGACCTTGTCCACCAGGGCCCCATAGGGCTTCAGCCGCAAGGCCACGCTCTCAGAGGTGTCCAGCACGAAGAACAGGTCCACTGGGCAGTCTGGGCCAAGGGGTCCCGTGAGCTGTGCTTTTTGGGTGCAAGAGGCCCCTCCCCCACCTCCCCCAAGTGGCTCCAGCCAGCCCCACAGCCCAGCACCCAGCTGTGTGAAAGATGACCACAGAGGGACAGGGAGAGGACAAGGTGCCACCCAGCCTGCGACCCCAGCATTCTGGGACTGGACCAGACAGAGAAGATAGATGGCTTCTTCTGTGTCCAGGCTAGATCTAAAGCCACTAAAGGCACAGCCATCAGCAAGATGGATGCAAAGGTCACCCTGTTTCTAGGCTGGCGAGGAGTCAGGAAATGAGCAGCATCAGCCCATTATGCCCACTGCCAGCGGGGCAGCAAAAACTGGCCCGGACCACGGCAGTGTGTCCCCTCTCAGGGTCCCCTCACAAGTCTCCCAAATTGGTGTCCCCCACCAGCAAGAGGTTATGGGAGTGCAGGCCTGGCTGGGGGACAGGCACAAGGGGACGGCACCACAGCACCATGCTGGCCTTGGGTTGCGTCCTGCCCCAGTTTCCTCCCTGGCCCAGAGAGCAGAGCCGAGCGGCGGCCCGACACTCACCTTGGAAGACGACGGCTTTGGGGGGGCCTTGGACATCCTGTGTGGCCACCCAGCAGGCCTGTAGCAGCAGCGACAGCAGGACGCCTGCCAGCCTCATGTCGCCGGCCCACCTGGGTCACCGTCGAGGAGGCCGGGACAGGACGCAGAGGAGGCTGTCTCCGCTTCTCACTCACTCTGCAGTTACAGCCAGGCCCGCAGAGGCGGGAGGGCGGGGCCGGGGCGGGCGGCGCCCAGGCCGCTGAGTCACCGCGCAGCTCCTCTCCCTGGCCTCTGAAACCAGAAGCCCCTCTGCCCGCGAGGCGCCCAGCTGAGATTCTGCTTCCTGGGCTTTGTGGGGACGCTATGGACTACAGCTCCCACCTAAAGTGGGAGACAACAAGATGTCTAGAGAAGGACTAGTGACCCAAAGAGGTTCTGTGAAGTAGTTTATGTTGTTTCTCTTCAAAAACCTCTGTCCTCTGCTAACTGCCTTCATATCTCTCCTTGATCTCTCCGATGCCTGGTTATTTTTCCTGCAAATATTTCTTCACAGTTTAGTCAAATACAGATGTGCAGAAGATCAGTTTTGAGTGTTACTGTGGTGACACAAAGTTGTCTAGCACTGGATATGCGTGTATGCGCATGTGTGTGATATGTGCGCTGTCTGATGCACACATGTGGGCACATGTACGTGTATGTCTGTGTACATATGGGTATGTGTGTGCAGAGACTCCAATGGTGGGGAGAACAGAAGAAGACAGTTATGTCTCTGCCCAGAGAAGATTCCAGAAAAGCTCCAGAGCTGTTGACACTTGCCTAGTATCAGCCAAAAATTTCATAAACTATTCAAAAGCAGCCTGAAAATAACAATATGGTTGCTATTAAAGAAACCCTGCAGAACTCGTGCTCACCCATACTGCCCAGCAGCAGGCCTAGGGTGCCTGTTTCTCCCACTCCTGCCTTACAGATCACTTGGTGCCACACAGCTGTGGCTTTCCATTCAAATGTGGTTTCAGAGCCACCATGCAGGATGATGCCAGCTTGTGTGGCCTCTCTAGTCAGGGCTGTCTTACCTGCAGGTGGTAATGGTCTGCACCCACAGCTAGGTGGGATGGAGATCCGCATGTGAGCCTAGGGACAGGTGAGGCCCTCAGCCCAGGGAATATGGTGTGGCATGATATGCAATGGAAGCAGCACAGGGCCTCCTGGTCTGCTCTGTGTACCTGAGAGGGTGCATCTTCTGCAAGTGCCTGGGGAGAACTGGGTGGAGGCAGTGCTTGGCCTGGCTGGGCATACCCTTGGGCACACATGGCTGCCTGCTTCAACCTGGCCTTTGCCTTTAGGTGTCAGGGACAGGCCTCCAGGTCACCCTCCTGAAGGTGCTACTGCTTCCATACTCTCAGGAGTCTCTGGGACTGAAGAGAATGCAGAGGACCAGAGTCCTTGCCATCCACTGTTGTGCTGTCCTGCCCACTCTGTGCATGGACCTCTACCAGCAGCTGGCTGCTCTACCTCTGTCTCTGCAACCCTTTCTTCCTCTTCACTGCCCTCAAAGCCCTAAAGGGTCCCCTGGGCTGGCCTAGTGGTCTCTGACGCAATGTCTGGGCCCTCCAGCCTGATCCACGGCCCTGTTTCCCTCATCCGGGGCCTGAGTCTCAGTGCTGGGAGATAGTGGCTCCTGGGAGTGGCCACTGGAGAACAGGGCTGGGGTGGGTGTGAGAAAAGCCTTGCAGTCCAGATGCATATGCAAAAGTGTGTGGGTCCTTGTGTGCATGTGTGGCCCTGCGTGTCTGTGTGTATTTGTGGGGGGAGGGGCTGCAAACCAGCTGTGTCCCTGCAACCTGTGACCAGGGCTTTCTTATCCCTAATGCTGCTATACAGAAGGCTCCGAGCCCATATGGTCAGGTGTACAGCAGAGAAGTAGGTGAGGCCCAGCAGGTGCAGCCTCAGGGGTGGTAACCTGCAGGGTGGGGTGAGGCCTAACCTTCTGCCATGGTTCGTCATCATAGGTAGTGGCAGGAGGGAAACCCAGACCCAGTGTCTGCAGACTCTGACCTGCTTGAACCCAAAAGAAGGGAAGGATTACGACCTTTCTGGCTATGGGGTCCCTGAGTACACAATGGATAGGATCAGATGGGCAACCCATCAGGACCCCCAACTGTCAGGTAGCTCTACCTAGTCCCACACCCCTCTTCCTCTCTGTCCCCCTTCGTTTCTTCTTTTCCTCTTCCTCCCATCCCTACCCCTTCCCCAGTCTCCTTGTCCTCTTCCTCCTCCCTCTTTCTTTCCCAGTGTGTCTCAGGGGAGGCAATTTTTCTCCAAGGGAAGATGGACAGAGTGAGTAGCTGGTTGGCCTGACTCCGAGTGGCAATGTGTGTCACACTGAAATGCCACAGGCTGCCCCTTGCCATGCAGTTTTGTGTTTTATGCATCAGTTAGAATCACTTCTAAAAAAGAGCCCCCCCCCCCACTTGCTCCTGTGCTCTAAGAACCCTGGTGGCTCCAGGGCAGGGTAGCAAGGGTTTTACCAGTCAGGGGTCCACATCTTGGGTCCTCTACAAGGGACAGCAGTGCCTTGACTGAGGAAGGGAGTTTTTCCAGGACAACAGGGACACTGTCAGGCCTCATCGTCCTGGCCACACAGAACCCATTTGCCCTAGAGCAAGACCCAGAGCTCTGGCCTCAGGTGTGGCCACCAAGCCCACCCCACATTCCCTGCTTTAATAAGGGCTCAGTGCTATCCACAGAGATTCCTGCTGTGCCTTGGAGTTGTGCCAGGACTTAGGAGGTCGACACCCAAGATCATGCCCATGACCCTCCCGGACCTTCCTGGTCCTCTTACTCTTTCTGACTAGCCCTGGAGCTCCTTGGAGCTGACCTCTGTGTTCTCTGATTGTCTGCCTGGCCTCTGTGTAGAGCCATTGCAGGGATACAATGGTGTGGTTGAAGTCTGGGATTGGGCCATGAGTTCCCCGAGCCTCACAGGCAGTAGGTCACTGCCTGGTGCTTGTCTGGTCCAAGGTCTGAGGTGGGACTCATCCCCAGCCCAGCTGGGGAAACTGCATCAGGTCAGTGTGCTCAAAGCTGTGTGGTTGAGGAGCAGCCCTGGAGGCAGCCTCAGGCTCCTGATGCATGCAGCCCTGCCCCTCTGAAACATCTCCTCTGTGCCCCCTTGGGGGCACCCCAGGAGCTTCTCTCTGGCCCACATCCCACACCTTCTCCTGCGGGCAGACTCAGTCCCCTTCTAGTTGCCCTCTTCCTGTTCTCATAGTGAGTAGAGTTTGCCCTGGAGAGGGATCTGTCCCCAGCCCTCTGGCTGGGAAGAGAGATGTCCTGGGAATTTCTGTGTCTTCTAAGAGGATGTGGTGATGGCTGGGCCTGTGGTGAGATGGGTACCAAACTCAAGGGACAGGACAGGGTGGCCTTGTAGTCTAAGGTTCCATCCTTGTCTGCAGTGATTCTGGAATTGTCTGCTCCTCCCTGGGCAGGGGTGGGGAAGGCATGGTCCTTATGGACACCAAAGGCTAAGCCCTTCTTGCATCTGATGAATAAAGACAATTTGAATGTCTTTTTACTGCCCTGAGTGCAGAGTGGATTTCCTCCCAGTTTAGAACATGATTCACTAAGGAAAGTAATGTTTTTCCAGGGCTCTACAGTCTCCATGGTGACTTCCCCAAGACATGGGGCTGGTGCGGATACTGACAGCCAGGGTGCAGCCTAACCTCCCACCCCTTACTGCAGGAGTCCTCTCTCCCAGGCATCTGTCTCCGTGGTCCACTCCCTTGGGTCTCTGTGGTCTGGCCCAAGACCAGCCTTGGCCAAGTTCTGCTGGACACTGGGGACAGAGCGGATCCTGTCTCCCTGACCCTTTTTCAGTCTGCAAAGTGAGTCACCTGGTGGGGAGTAGTCAGGCATCGACCCACTTCTGGAGTTGGGCAGGGCTGCTGTCTGGGCTACCAGAGCCATTGATCCACAAGGTGCAGTGACCAGGATGGCAGCACATGGTGTGGGGATGGGTGGCCTTAGTGCTGTCAGCTGGGTTATTCAAGCCACTGCTTCTGCAGGGGCCTCCCATGTGTTCTTAGGAGATGTGGAGACAGTAGTAAATAAAGGCAGGGGTCACAGGACTGGCTGGAGGCAAGAGGATCCTGGAGCCCAGCCCTTTACCTGCAGAGAGGAAAGGCCTCTGGACCCTGGTGTCTGGTGTGGGCATGGGTACAGATGCAGGCAGGACAAAGGACCCAGACTACACAGAAGGGGATTGGTGCCGACCAAAGGGTGTAGGTTTTCTATGGGGAGGGTCTTCCCAGCCTGTGCCACATGGCAGCAATATTCAAGTTCTCTAAGCATTGTCTGTGATGTCCTGAGGCTCATACCAAGGGGCTGTTCAGTTCCAGGCTGTGCAACCATCCTGGGGCCACAGGCTGCCTGCTGCTGTGGGTGGTGTGCAGGAGTGGGGCTGGGCTTGTGTGGCAGCATCCCTGGGTTCTGGAGGCAGGGTAACCTCCCCAGGGCTGGGCCCACTGTCCAGTCCCTCTCATGCACTGGGGTGGAGATGTTGGCAGCCACTGCCTCCCCATCACCCCAACAGGCTCTGGGATCTGATCCTACAGGCAGCTTCCTGGGCCTCAGGTTAGCCTGATCTGCTTTCTGTTGATGAAAAGCTGAGGATTTTAATTTTCAGTGAGAATCAGACATGGAGACTGGTTGGAAAATAGCTGCAGTGCATACAGGGTGCCAGGGACCCTCAGAGGCCATGGTAGGGGAACAGCTCTCCAGTCTTGCCCGCAGGCTCTGAGATAGACTGGGTCCAGTCAGGGCCCATGTATCTAAGGAGCAGAGATCTGGGGAGCTCTGCTGGCTTTGGAACCAGAACCAATGGGGCCAGCACCTTCTTCCCCAGCAAGGAAAGGAGACTCCCCCAGAGCCCCTTCAATGTAGCTGTGGGGCTCGAGTGCCCCCCTCAGGCTCTGGGGGATCTCAGCATGGAGCCCACTGCGTATACCATCCTGGGAATGTGACCCTGGCGTCTCTGGAGGCCAGGTGAGAAGTTTCCTCAGTGCCTGGGACCCAAGGCGAGGTAGGACATATGCATCTCCCTGGGACATCCCACATGTGAGCTGGCCCTGTGAGCACAGTGACGATCTCAGGCAGAGGCTTCAAGTGCTCCTTGGTCCTCTCTGTAGAGGTCAGGGAACACACAACATCTGGGACAGCTTGACAGACCACAGGGATAGTCATG